GGAGAGTAATGTAATCAGTGTTTCGTAAGGCTCGGGGCAGAGCTTGGTTAATATTTTTTTGTTAGAGAAATCAACTGGGATGCCTCCTAAACTTCATAGCATTTATTCTTATTCAACATTTAAATTGATTGGTGATAATTTAGCTTTGCTGTTTTTTTAAAAAGAGAAACTTCTAGTACTGTACTCCACACGTTGTCTGTGCAATCAGTAAGTATGCAGACAAAGTTCTTTCTATTCCACTTCGCACAATTTGAAATTATCAGCAAGTTAAGTCTATTCAACTGCTTATCTACAGAGAAGCATGTAGGACTCCAATTAAGTTTACATGGATAAATGCAGATTTGTGTTTGCAGACGTCAAGATGACAGGAGCTTAATACTGTAAAAAGGCTAATCAACACTGAATATGTTTAGTGTCAGTAAATATTTATAGTGAAAATATTACCCATGGTTTTGTGCCTTGGCATTCCAAGTTCTGATTTTTAGTGAGTAAAAATGTGGTGTGATATCCTGTTTATAAACCTGCTATATAGTTTTTGTTTTCTATAAAATCAATTTTATTGCCTTTTTCTTCTTTGCGTTTGCTTGGGAAGACCGGATAGGAGGTAGGCTACAGTTTGTAAGTTAATGAAAAATCTGGTATGTTTAGCAAGGTTTTAAGGCAAATGTAATCCAGAGAATGAGGAGAGGAAGGAGACAAGATAAAGAAACAGGCAATGTGGGGAGAAATTTCTTCTGATTATAATTTTACTTTATTTTTTTAATGAAACCTTCTTCAAATAGTGGTTACTGATCAGCTCTGGTGAATAATGTGATTATATAGTATGCTCGTGTATTCGTTAGGCAATAACTACAATTTAACTGGAAAATTAATTGAACCTCAGCAATACGTGCTTGTTATCTATAAAACATACAAATATATAAATTTTTTTTTTATTTCATTAGATCTCTGGAAGTTAAATGCTAGTCTGCTGTCTTTTGCAAATGTATTCTGGACAATAGCATGTCAAAATTGAAATCCAAGAAGTATAAATCTTAAATTGAGCTTCTGCTGATGTAATATTGAATGAAGAATACAGCCAAGTGAAAAAAAAATAATAGAGGTACAAGGAACATTGATTGTTATTTTTTATTATATTTTGACTTGGAGAAAAGAATATAACTGTACCTGCAGTTCTGCATCAGCCTTAACAGTGTGAAAAAATAATGCTGAAGTGAAATTTTGTTTTCTGGAGGGGAAATAAATTGATATAGTTTAGGATTTTGTTTGTTTGTTGGAAATGTCACGGCTTGTCAGGTTAACAAATGTGATTTTATTCTGCAGACCTGGTCAAGAAAAAGAAAAATTCCCTGAAAAACTCCTGCGACATAAATACAATATACTTCAGTTTAGTGTCTAACTTTGCATGAAATAAGCCCTGCCTGTTAGCCTCTGTTTGATCCTGTGAGAGTGCGGGGCTAATGTCTGGCCAGTGTTTTGGAAGCAGCAGGTAGTCAGGAGCAAGCTGCTCTAGGGGTCCCTATTTCTGTAGCCTCGCAGTTACTCACACACAGATGGAGACCTTATGAACTTTGACAGAGGTCACGCTAAATTGCAAATCTAAAACTTCTAGACTTCTGAAGGATTACACTGGTACTTTCCTTAAATTTTGTGGTTTTTTTTTTGTTTTTTCTTTTTCTTTTTTTTTTTAAAGCCATATGATGGGGAACATCACTAAAAGGTATCAACTCAGTTTTGAGAAGTAGATCAACCTCGCAGTCATTGTTTGCATAATGATTGTGGGGACTTGTGAAGATAGCCTTTCATGATACTTTAAAGGGAAACTGTACATTAAATTTTTAAATTTAAATATGTTATATTGCTTCCCGAACACCTAGGCTTGTCTGCTGTATTCAACTGGTTAAAGGGATTTTGGAGCTTAAAACATTGCAGAAGCCTCTGATTTTTCTGATGCACACGAGTTGGAAATAATTAAGATATTTATAGTAGTTTTTTTATTTCAAGTCTTTTGGAGCAGTCAGTTGAGACACCAAGCTCTGTCATCTGTCATCAACCATCATCTCACCAGGGATCTTACAGCAGTTTAGGAAAGAAAAACATGAGATGATCTGGTTACACATTGGTAGCATGTTTAAATCCTGGATTCAAAGTCGGGGAGCACTGAAGAGCTCCTCTTTGTCTTCCAATTATAATCCTGAAGCTATACTTAATAGATGAAAATCTCTGTGATATTTCGACTTACTATTCAACTGGGAAATTCTGGGGAGATTTTGTAGCATCCACAGGAAGACTTTATTTGTTTCCAAGTCAGTCATTTAACCTAAGTTTTTTTTTTTAACATTTTTTGTTCAGTGGAGATGCAATGTGAGTTTCATTCAGTGTTTATGAAATCGGGGTCCATGAATGACTTATCTAGGTCAGAGGCAGCAAGGAGGCTGATCCTCTTTTAATCAAATAGTCAAATTTTGATCTTGTCATTGTTGAACTGGTTGTGTAATATCCTACTTAGTCGCTCATGGAGTAGCCTTTAAAGCTATGACTTCATGTTTCAATGAGGCTGAGTCTGACTCCGTGTGTTGAAAGTGGTTTCAGTGATGGCCACACAGAGAGCTTGAAAATTCACACCAGCAGCGGACTGGGGCGGGAGGGGGGGAAGCTTTGAAACTGTTTGAACTGGTCTGCATATAAAATAACAAGAATGTTATTCATAAAACACAAAGGGAAAAGAAATAGGAGCGCAAAAGAATCTCCTTCTGTAGCTACAGCAATTCGCAGTGGCTGTACTGCTGGTGTCTTCACTTTGGTGAGATCTTGATGGGGGAAAAAATCCAAATAGCTTAATTTACGGTTGCGACCCCTGAGTTTACAATGAATTCTTTTCTTCATGTTATTTTAAACTAGAGCTATTAGAAAAAAAATGTGCAAATAACTTTCAGAGTTGTCATCACTGTATTAATCATAATAACTTGTAAGTAAACATATCTAAAGTTGAAGTTCCGAATCTTGTACTTTACAAGGGATACGGATGCACAGACAAATTTTTACGAGATGAACTAGTTCGCGATGTGCTCTGCATTTTATACTTCGTGGTGCGCACCTAGCACCAAAGTTCATGGGACCTGGCAAACACAATGTGATTTGGAGTTGCTGGTCCCTGTGATGCTGAGAGGAAAGAATGTGAATTACTTTGTGTTTTCTGAAGGGTGAGAATGTGGATGGCTGAGGTTGGGTAACCTCGTCCCTATCGCAGCTTCCTCATTCACCCATACCTGGAATGGATGCAACAGCTGCAGCCAACACGTACAGTTTGTGCTCCTGAGTGGCACATCCATTTCAGCTTCTGTTAAGAAATATTAATGCTTATGAGGCAATGTTATTCTGCGTAGTCCTATTGGGATTGAACTGTTGTGGCTCCTCAAATTTTCTGTTACAATGTCTTTCCAGAATTGAGAAGAGAGTTAAGATAAAGATGGTGTTTTTCTTTTACCTGTATATTTTTCAACTTTCCTTTCCAGAGATGACCTCTTTGAAAATTGTTTGGAGTGCAGTAAGCAGAAGATAGTTTAAATTATCTGGGTTTTTTTTGCACCTCCTATAAAGAATTGTTTGTATTTAATATATCAGGGAATTACTTTTAACAACCATCATATTCAGTGCGGTTTCGCATTAAATTACTAACTTAGTTACACAACCCTGTTAAATTAAAAAAAAAAAAAAAAAAGCTTGAAGGATTTCAGAAAGTCATCTCCTCCCACTACCTGAGCTAAGGTATGCCAACTATATCTGTGTCCTGACAGGTGTTTCTTTAACCTGTCTTTAAACATTTTAGCTGGCTCCAGAGTCTTTTCCTAGGCAATCTTTTTTCCAGTGTTGACTATCCCGAGTATATCTCTTCTGCTGATACCTCCTCCTGATTATGTTTTTTTTCCAACCAGTGCTGGAAATGGGATATGGTTTATTCCTTTCCTCTCTGAGGAAACAAATTAATCTTTTACTCATCTGTGAGGAAGGGGCAGAGAACTTACTGGTTTGTGTGCAAGTACCGGACTGACACTGGCAGCATCCTTTCAGCTGTGTAGCTTTAGATTGCGTTTGTTAGAAGTTGTCTGTCTTTGGTATGAAAAGCAGGGGAAAAGAAGGGAGAGCAATACACAGGAAAAAAGAAAGAGAGGAGACAGACTGGGAAGTGGAATGAAAGGAGATGAAGAAATTCAGACAAAAGAAGAAACAGTATAAGCAGAGAAATTAAGGGACGAAAGTGGCTATGAGGGCTCCATGCTAGGTAGTTTTTTTTAATTAAAGAAATATTTTTTTGTGGGGAGGCTATATGCCTAGCAGGGTCATGGAACGGTGCTAAAGGGGAAAAGAGCATTTGATAAAAGAATTCACCAGGTGAGGTTGGATAAAGGTATTTACAGAGCAAGCAATAGATTTCTTTGCTTTGGAAGTTCCACGGGAGTCTCTTATGACTTACAAATGATAAAAGTGTTACAAAATTATATGTAAGTGATAAAACTTTTTACTATCTTTCATGACTGTGGTTGGGATGTAACACGGCACGTATCTTCCCCAGGAGTGTGCATGTATAAGGCGGCAGGATGACAAGGGGGGCCAGGGTTCTTTGGAATGGAGCTGATACGGTCATGACCAATCTGTTGTTTCAAGGAGATGGCTCTGGTCTTGCCTATGTCTGCTAGGACTGAACCAAAAGTCTCTTGGTTGCGCTTGCTGTCAGCAACTTACCTAGGTGCTTGAATTAGGCTTGGTGAGGTGAAAATTTGGAACCTTTGTTTCTTAATTAAACGGAATGTTTAAGGAGGGTATCTTGAGGCAGGAGTGGAACAAAACTGGTAAATCTGCATTGATTACGTCAGTACTATGGTCTCTAAGTTGTGAACAAGTATTTATTCCACAAAGGTAAGAGCATATATTTTTATAAGTTGTCTCTTACTGTGATTAATATGTTCACCTGATTTTGTATTGATTTTTTTGGTTTTCAGGTGTGGCTCACAATATTTCTTTACTGCGAGAAGTGATCACCCATCCACGCTTTGTTCAAGGAGACATCAGCACTAAATTCCTTCCTGAAGTCTATCCTGATGGTTTTAAAGGTTTGTTCCATTTGGGAATGTTTCTATTTTTCTTGAGCAGTGTTGTTTCTGATTATTATTCCTTTATATTTATAGACTGACACGTTCCACAATTGGTCTTTACTTTTTTTCCTCAAATGTATCTGTGCATACACGCAATTAGGGTTTTTAAATAATGCATAATGTAATTAAAACAGTTACTTTCTTTACTTTCAGGAAGGCAAAATGCATACTTCTAGTGACAAAATAGTAAGTGAAGTACATCCAAAGTCAAGAAAAACAATTTGTAGGTGATATGAAATATGTAAAATAAACATCAATTCAGCTTTACCATGCTATTGTGGTAGCACAGACAGTGATTCTGCTGTTAACTGAAGATAAAATTTGTCTTTACTTAACACTATTGCTTCTCCAGTGAGTTTGTGCAGCAGCTTTAGAATCACCTTTTGGCACCCTTTGTATTCACTGTGGCGTTGTCTGGAGGATCTGGCATTTTATCAGATTATTTCAGTAACCTGGTGTTAATACTCATTACACGCAGTAGTGGGCTTCACCTTGAAGTTAACAACTCATACACCAGGTTAACGTAAACATAAATGCAAATGTTTCTTTACAATGTTTCAAACAACTCAGTTTCAAAAATGTGTAACAAGGGTGGTAGAGAGATGTAAGTAAACAAATAGATTGGTTTCCTTTTACAAGGATCAGGTTTTAAAAGGTTGTCTTCTCTCTCAAGCAGTCTGCTGTAGATGCTTTCTTGAGCTGTGTGGTCAGAGACTCAGTCCTTCCATCCAGACCTCACACCTCAACTGGCATGTATCAGGCAGAACCTCTTCCTTATTAAAAAAAAAAAAGACAAGACAATGTTTATAGCTCATCATTCATGGGTCCTTTATGAATCCCATGGAGATTCCTTTCTCCCTCGTTCATCGTTAATCCAATGTAGCAGGATCCTCATCCCGCCTTGGCGACAACGGTGCCAGATTGGCAGTCGCTGGACATGACTGGCACCTTGCCAAAGTCTAGTCTCATTAAGGAGCAGAACAGATTTTTCTTACCTCAGGTCTCAGTGTGTGCGTTTGGTGCTGTTGTGGTTTAACCCCAGCCGGCAACTAAGTACCATGCAGCCGCTTGCTCCCCGTCCCTGCCCCCCGGTCCTGGTGGGATGGGAAGGAGAATCAGAAGAAGGTAAAACCTGTGGGTTGAGATAAGAGCAGTTTAATAATTGAAAGAAAACAAAATAATAATAATAATTGTAATGAAAAGGGAGATAACAAAGAGAGAGGGAGGAATAAAACCCAAGACAGACAAATGATGCACAATACGATTGCTCACCACCTCCTGGCCGATGCCCAGCCCGCCCCCGAGCAGCGATCGGCCCCTCCCAGCCAACTCCCCCAGTTTCTATACTGGGCATGATGCTCTATGGTATGGAATATCCCTTTGGGTGGTTGGGGTCAGCTGTCCTGGCTGTGCTCCCTCCCAACTCCTTGTGCATCTCCTCTCTGGCAGAGCGTGGGAACTGAAAAGTCCTTGACTTAGGGTAAGCACCACTTAATAACACAGGGATGTTTTAGTTGTTGTTGACATTATTGTCATACTAAATCCAAAACCACAACACTGTACCAGCTGCTAGGGCAAAAATTAACTCTATCCTAGCTGACACTAGGACAGGTGAAAAGAATAAATATACATCATGATATAAAGTAGTTCTGTGTAATTGGCAACTGTATATGATGGAGTCCTACACGGGGGGTTAATGCCTCCGGCTTGTCGCTGGCTCCTGACTGAGCTGGCAGCAACAGGAGTTGGTCACCTTGGGTGGCAGTAAGCTTGTGACAGTTGAAGCTCAAATGTTGCTTTGTCGTCTTTGCTAAGGTGTCCTTAACTAATCCTCAGGTAATTCAGCTGGCTTTCATCCGGCATAGACTTGAGGGCACTCTGATCTGCTCTGAAGGCTCAGTGCTGCTGATTAGCTGGTCCGTCTCCCTTCCCTGACACTTTAATACAGAATCCCATGTCCTGTCTCTTTGGTTCTGGGACTTCTCAGTCCTTTTCCTGAGTGGATTCAGTTCTCTAAACCACCATAAAACCGCATTTTTTAAAAAATTGTTGCTGCTTTTGTTGGAGTAGGTTTTTGAAAGTTCTTGGGTTGACTTAGCTCATGAGGGAATCTGGTGAACTTCAGCAGATGTGCAAAGTGAGTGGCAGGCTAGGAATGGGGAGAAGGGGATGAAGGAGAGAGGCAAGGGTGCAAGATGTTGGATTGGTTTGTACCATGCTGTGAAAAGGCAGCCTTACCTAACACACAACTGGGAACAGTAAAAACATAAACCGTTCTACCCTTATTTGTGATAATGTGTTTGTTGGGGCCCTTGATCACTTGTAAGAAGCTGGGACAGGTTTTGCTGACCCAGGAGGAGACCCCTTGCTCTGTATTTTTGACTATGGAAAGGCACTCTTGTCTTTTGTTCTTTTATTCTTGTTTTAATATTTTTGTATTGCAATGTTAACCTGTATGCAATCAAGTAATTACTTGGTCCACAAATTGCAGGATGACAAGAAATTTGTTTTGGGGTCATCTGACTTGAGCTGTATATGCAGAGATTTGTGCGCGCATACACGGTGATGCAAATGCCTGATTAGTGTCGCAGCCTGAGGTAAACAGTCATATCGTCTTAACAGATTCTTAAAGATAAGCTTTTGCTCTAGACACCAGAAGAACCAAGAAGAGATACTGTGATGGTTCATAATAGAAACTAATGAAGGGCGCACTTGAAATGTCTAGACTTTTTTCCTGCTGTATGAAGAGTCTTGCTCTTCTCCTTCCGTGTATCAAATAGAAGCATACAGTAGCCTTCTTAATGATTAAAAAAATGCAGATATTGTTATTACAAAATATTTGCATTTCAAGTCGAGAATATTTATTCACGAATACCAATTCAAAGCTCACTGAAGTGATTGAGAGTCCTTTTAGTGATGTAGTTTGTGCTGGATCAGACACTTCTGCCTAAGAAACCAAATCGGTGAGTTGAATTAGAGGATAGATTTTTCAAGTACCCATTGAAAAGTATTTCCGTAAATGCAGAGAGCTGAATAGGGACTGTTAAAGGCAAGCAAGGGTGGTGGGCAGATGACGGGTAGAAGCTCAGCAAGAGAAACAAAGGCAAATCAACTTACGCAATGTAAGTTCTCTACTCACTTCAACTAACTTTTTTGTATAAATACCCAGGGTAAACTTTGCTAGGAGGATTTGAAAATTATGTAGCTTCATTTATCTTAATATTGTTTATAAAAGACGTGTAGCTGTAAAAAAAGATCTGGGATTATCTGAAAAATTAGAGAAATGTGTAGCCAAAGTGGACTTGGAAATAGCTAGAAATATGTGCTGTTGTTAACAGCAGGAATCCATACCAGAAGTGTGTTAAATTTGGAAAACTTAAGAAGAAAAAAAAAAATTTCAGTGAAGATGGGTGCTATATTAATGCTTGCGCACAATCCAATGTGTTTCTTTTCTGAACTACACAATTGCCGCTGTTGGTTTGCATTGACAGTAAGTAACGAATGTCAGCTGTGTTCTTTCTGGTGACTGCATGAAGTACTGGCCCGTTTCTTATGTGTGTTTTTCTTCAGATAGAAATAGCAACTTCAGTCTTACTTAAGAGTAAAATAAGAGATGCTTTGTTTTCCAGTGTCGTTTTCAAGGGTTTCATTGTAAGTCCTTTATTAGAAGGCTTTTAGTGTAAGTTAAGAAAAAAATTATTAGAAGTATCTTGGCAGCTTTTCCATTAACCTGTGATACCCAATTCAAATTACATCCAGGACAGGAATGTTTAGTAATTTTCATGATTAGGGTTTAACCGTTTTTCTTCCCTTCTTTAAATAAGCGTTCTTTAACACAACCAGTTTGTTTATTGCAAATTATTTTAAAATATCGCTGTGCTGAAACTAACCTTGCTCAGGGTATGATTAGTGTGGGAAAGCAGCTGCTGTCGTACCCTTTTGTTGTCTATTCGAG